GCTCTCAGGGGACACATTTTGTGTGTTTTGTACTGGAGCTTTGAACAGTTTGGTGAAGCAGTTCTACCTTTTCAGGTCCGAGCTTTTCCTGCAGGGCTTCTCCAATCTCAGCCTCATTGCCATAGATGGATGCACAGTCAATGTGGCGATACCCAGCTTCCAGTGCCCAAATAACTGCTTGTTTCACCTGTTAGAAATAAATATACAAGTTTCAGTAAGTACCCATACACGTTCTTAATGTTTGTACCAAAAAATCTAAACTTAACATCAGAATCTGCTAAATTCTCAGACCAACAAGTGAAAAAATAAATGTGCTGCAATTACCGGACATAAAACAATACTATATTAGACTTTCATTCACTGGATACTTAGAGCTTATCAAAAGATTTCTTGTCCACTTGGGGGCAGTGAAGCATATTGATAGGAATTTATGGGCAAAATCAGTTTAAATGTAAGACAATCTAAATGTAATAAACTGTATTTTTCCCATTTCTAATATATTGAAAATAAAATATGGTGAAAATAATGTCTTCCCCTTGTTCCTGTCTACTCTTCATTACTACCCTGTCAATATTTTTTTTTTAAATAATAAATAAATAAAATAGACAAGACAAAAAAAACAATCCAAAAAGCTGAGAGAACTGCAGAGTTGAATTTGTAAAAAACAGAAAGCACTTCTCAGTTTACACATGCCAATTTAATTAAGGATACAAAAAAGTGCAACTTTATTGTGTGACATTAAGATGAAGGAAAGGGGTAAACACAACACCATTTTATTTTATTAGAAAGTCTCAAATGGCTTAAAAACAGGAGGACAGAAGTGCAGTTTCTACCTTTCCAGGCTCACTCTTCCATGTTCCCAGTCCAATGAGGGGCATCTTGCGCCCTGTGTTAAGAACTGCAAAGTCATTCATGCCTCTCAGAAGCACCTTAAAAAGAAAAGCAGAGTAAGAGCCAGTCAGTGAGACCTGCTCAACTCAGGTGGCTGTGAAAAAGTAGGAAGTGTGTACACCATTCGGTAGTTTTATACTGCATAAACTGAAGACAAAGACAAGGATGCACACAAACACAGGTCTTAGGAGAAACTGACAGCAAAGGAAATATATGATGGTGTAACAACAGTATGTCACAGTTTTCACAGTATAGCATTATTTTTGATATTCTCAGGTAGAATGACCAATTATGCTTTGAAAACAGAGTTCAAACCATTAATGAGTCCAGCAGGTACAGCTGGACAGATAGGATTCTTGATCCATATACTTAATATCCCAAACATCACAGTCAAACAAATGAATATAAATAACAGCTGAAGAACTGGTAGAGCAACTGTCCAACTAGTAAAAGGAAGATCCAATTAAACTCATATTGACTGACAAATGCAAGGAGAGACTGTGCAAAGCCTTTGTAAGTGATATATCCATATCAAAATTTAGCTTAGATTAAACACAAGATCTCATGATGAGAATGCAGCCAGAACACTAGAATTAAGTTTGTATACAGGAGTAAAAATATTAGCTTATGAAAAACATTTCTGAATTGAAAGCTTGCACATCTTAAAGTATGAGAATTTCCAAAGTTGTTTTTGCACCAAAGGGAAAAAGGAAAAGCTGAAAAGGAAGCATGAAAGGAAATGAAGGCTGCTGACTTGCATTTTCAACAGCTAGAGGGATGTGATCATTCCCCTCACTATATAATAATTACAATACTTCAAATAAAAAGACCTGAAAGTAAGAAACTTGAAGAAATTTCTCAAAGTGCACTCACACAAACATTAATTATACAAAACCCATATATGCAAAATTGTTTCTCATCTAATTTTGAACACCATAGAAACACATCTGCTTTGATAATACCTACCATAGATGTGTATCAGTCAATAAGTAGTGCAAGCCCGGATGTAAAAGAGCTCAGTGTGGCAGCGTGTAGAAGGAACTACATTCCTGTTGATCCAAGACACCTGTACCCGCCCTCTCTGACTCGCACCGCCTAACACAAACACTATCTGCTTGTTCCACATTCCTCTCAGACATCTTCCACTGATGCCATAAATAGTAACTGCTTTCAGCTGCTTCCGTATTCACCAGATTTTCTTTATGTCTTATGCAATTTCAAAAGGATGTGTCTCCTCTTGGGTGCCTGCAAGGGATGTTTCACTTGTTAGGCAAATGTGTAAACTACTACACTATGAAGCCACAAAGTAAAAAAAAAAAACTCCACACAACACCACATCAGTTCTGGTGGCTACTTGGTGCCTTTTGAGATTTTGAAGGCTTGATCACTAGATAACAGAGGGTGGAGTAACTTTCCTCAGAAACAATTTAGTCAGAATCTACAAATGATCTGTGAACTTCTTGGTTATCAGCTACTGACATCAGTAGCTTTCACTAACAGGCCCACACACTTTGTGGTTCCCACGTCAATGTCAGCTTTTAAGCACCTGATGTCTTTCTTTGAAAGCATTATAGAGAGACACATGACACTCTAAAAACTGAGCATTATTGATAGAAGTATGATTCCAGAGGGAAGAAGGGCAGTTTCTTTGTTTTGGCTGTTGAATGCATGCATGCATGCAGTTTTATATCCAAATGACCACTGAAATGGCTCCAAAAAAAGTGGTCGCCTACAAGGTGCATGCTGCTTTTTGCCCTTTGAAATAGTTCTATTGTTGGTTGAAGATACAGAAGAGGGAGAAGCGGAGGCCGTGTTCAGAGGCCAACTAGAAAATGACTTTTATGGTTATAGAGCTATATTTTGCCCTGTTTCAGCAGGTCTGACGGCTCTTTTTGATGTCGTATGTTAAACTTGTTTTCCTTTTGCATTATTTTTTTATTGCAGGAAAGGAAAGCGGTGTTAATTTGGTTTACAACTCGACTGACCAATCTGCAAAAACACCAGTATTTTCCAGATCTTTCAAAAAATCCCTGAAAGTCACGCGCCCTGCCACACCTCAATACCACTGTCCTCGCGCTCACTGTCCTTCGACATCAAAAAAAAACAAAACTGCTGAACCCCCCTTAACAAATCTGCAAATAAGGAGTGACGTTTGTATTATGTAGCAAATGTTAGCAAACAATGCTACACTTAGTAAAGAGGGAGCTACGGTTAGATAAAGTATTGTGGCTGTGTGGTCACTCGGTGGCTTCGCTTGTTGCTGAGATTGTCTTCAGGAGAAAAAAAAATGAATGTAACAGCTGCTCGTTAAAAACATCAGCCGCCACACTTTCTGTTGAAATAACAGCCGGCTGCTGTTGTAGCTTCTATTGAAGTCAACTCTCACATTCTCTCGCGTTACTCCCTTTAAAGTCGGTTTTTAGTAGAAGTCTGCACACACTCACCCTGCTGCCGAAACCGACACACAAACGACACAGCGTCTGCTTTAGGAGCTGACACTTCAGTGACTGCATGCTGTAAAATTATGTGACGTGAATCCTCCTTCACGGCTCTGTGCTCACTTTGATTCGTCAACTTACTGTTTCAAGGTTTTAAAAGCTGCCGACTTCAGTCAACGACCTGTTCCGGTTGTCCTCCTGCAGCGTAGGACCACTGTGCATAGAGTGCTGTTTTCTGCTAAATGTTCAAAAACACCACCTCATCTTGTTGACGTTTTCCTTTTCCGGTATGATAGTTCTTCCATTTCCGGGGAATCTAAAGGTAGTTCACAGAAAAATAATAATAATAACGTAAAAATGCAGAAACCGTGTAATAGAACGGGGAAAGGTCTACTCTGAAATAAAGTAAAAACTATTGGATAACGAAATTATCTTAATTTAAGGACTTTCAAATAGTTACTAGCTTTAGTGGCTTTAGTGGCTTACTTTGCATATATCGGATATCAATCCAAATGTAATTTATCTAGAGAACAAAAGAAGCGATGTTCCATTTCAAATTTACGTCGTTATTTGAAACGAATATGCATGATATTTTATCAATGATTTAAAAGAAAAATGTGGGTTTCCCCCATATGGGTTTTTCTTTCTTTTGGGGCATATGGGTGCCCCAAAAGACAAAACTGCTGTGGGCTCTGTGTGGACACATCCACCTGGGACACAGGTGTGTCAAATGTGGGTTTGCCCTGCTCATACAGCCCCACAGTTCACCTGCTTTTCTTAGGCGTGATCAGGAGGGACAGAATTACACAGTCCTGTGAGTACATTCGAGAGACAGTTAAGGCTGAGCAATTTGGAGACAAAGTTAGAGAGTCATGTGCAGAGGAGGGGTAGCGGATACAATGGACAGAGGATGTTAAATACTGAGCTGCCAGACAGGAGGAAAAGAAGACCTCAGAGGAGACCCGTGGAGGTATTTACACAGGACATACAGAGTGTTGGTGTGACAGAGGGGGATGTTAGGGATAGAGTGAAATAGATGCAGATGTACCCTGTGATGACTCAAAAAACGGTTAAATATTAGTTTTTTGGGGTTTTTTTTTTTCAAACTACGTTTTAGCTTATAGTTTAATTTTAGTTAACCATCATATATTTGTTTAATCTGAAATAGTGTACGTACACTCCCTACCGGTAGGGGGCAGAGTGCTGGAAAAACATGCACCACCAACAAGGAAGGAGGGCGGTAGAAACGGAAGTAAGATCAATATCAACAACCTGAGTTTACAACTCAAGTCGAACTTCGCTGCAGTAGCGGATAACATTTCTGAAGTTATTGTTATAACTTCGTACGCTTTAGTATTGTCCGGTGCATTATGGGGGAAGCTTCAGCCCGTGCGCTGCGGCGGCGGTTTATCTCTGTGCTCAAACTCAATGGCTAGTTTGGAGATAAGTTAGCTCACTTTCTGTCAGCTGACTGGCTTGAACTTACTTTGGCCGTCTCGGGTAGAAAACTGTCGTCTGATATGCTCGGATATTGCTTTCGGGTTAGTTTGAACACTGACGTAGGCTTAGTCAGAGAGTGTTCTCGCTGCTGTTGACGCGTCCCGGTACAGTCGTCTTTGCAATGATCCTGCAGCTGCTGCCACCAGTCATCTAGCTGGCTCCTCTCCTACTTTCCCCCCTCCCTTAATGGCTCACTGCGGCTCCTCCGAGCCCAGCGCAAAGGTACAGGCCTCGCACCCGGACAGCATCCTGCCCCCACAGGGCGGCGTAGACCAGAGCATGAAGCCGGTGCTGTTTGAGATCTTCGGCGAGCTTTGGACCGTCCAGTCGCGTCTCGGTCAGGGAGTCTCGGCCTCGGTGTACCGGGTCAGTTCGGGCAGAGCCACTGCAGCTGTGAAGGAGTTTCAAGCCGACACTCAGGGAGGAGATTACGGGTATCACAAGGAGAGGTCCGTGCTGGAAGACATCCAGGGACATAAAAACATCGGTAAAAGCCGTATTTCACTTGTGTAAAACGTTTGCTCTCATGTGGACCATTAAAACAGTTGCATAACAAACTACTTTTATTTTCCTGTATAGAAGCACAACCTACCTAATCATTCGTTTACAAAGCAGACGTAGAACAACCTCACATATCTGAAAAACTGCCATTTCAACAGTACATGTGTATAAGAGATCAGAGTGGATCTACAACAGCGGAAAAGCTTAATAGGAAGCATTTTTTAACCAATAAATGTCAAATGTATTAGAAAATCACTGCCTATTTTTGCAGTATTTGCTTAGAAAACCCAGTCATCTGATTTGTCCCCACCCTAGTTTGTTTATTTCCTTTATAATAACTCATGAACTCATATCTAGTAACATGCTAGTCTTCAACACCTTCATCTGGCCTTAAGTAGTTCTTAAAAGTTGTTGTGAGAGCTTAACTTCAGTGGATTGTAATAATCCATTTATGTCATGGGGATCATGTCTGTACAGATCAGCAAGATGGTCTTATACTGGTATGTCTTTCTGCTGGCATTGCACTGTTATTGACTGTTTTTGTTGAAAACCTCAATGAAGTTCTAAGTAATATAATTCTCACCATGTGTGTAACGATGCATTCTTTTCCCTCTTTTGTTTCTCAGTCACACTGTATGGAGTGTTTACCAACCACAGCTCTATGGGTGTGACCACCCGCTGTCTTTTGCTGGAGCTCCTGGATGTCAGTGTGTCTGAGCTGCTGGTGAGGCGCAACAGTAGTACCCAAGGTGTAAGGTAAGTGAGGTGATATCACTATTGTGTGGCGTAGTGATTAAAAGAAGCCATAGCTCGTAGCCAGTATGGATGTGAATAGATAGAATGCTGATTGGTTGAAAGCTGAACTGGAACAGATGAGAGCACCAGTGAAGTTAACAAAGTGAAAGAAGTGGGGAAAAATAATCAAAGGTTAAAATAACAGGAATAGTTGTTCCACATATGACAGTAACCCCTGGTGACAGCTATCACATGTAGACAGTTGTCTGCAAAGCTCTACATAGGACCGAGGCACAACCAAGCCAATCCCATTACTCTGTCTATGGCAGATTCAAATCCTTACCATGTTTCATTTGCATTTTCCCCCCATCCTGACACTGTCAATAGTCTCTGCAAATGACAAAATTTTATGATTTTGTACATGTCTACTTTTCAACTTAAACTGTCAAAAGTTAGTGGCATTTCTCATGGCAGTAGTTTCTATATTTACATTACAGACTTTTGCAACGTTATGCGTTAAATCTTTTATTACCTTCTAAAAACATTGGACAGTAACATAGTTTTCTTTTCCTAAAGCATGGAGAGAAGGCTTCATGTTTTGCCATACTCGTGTACTGTGTCAAAACCTCATTCAAGCAGCACATAATGCCATCTGCTGGTCAAACAAATATGCTGCATGTATTGTGGCTGTACTACAACATAAAGTGACGTATTGTGGGATAGTTTGACAGCACTATTTATCAGTTGTTGGGAGTGAAGATTGTTCAGTTTTCCTTTTTTTTTTTTCCCAGATGTAATACAAGATTTTTAACAATATAAACAGCATCTGGACCAGTGATCATGTTATATAATGAATAATGTTAGATTTTGTTATTGCTAAGAGGATGTGAGCTGTGTAACATCGTAGTTCAACATTTGTGTTTAGAGCCCAGCAGGGCCACTCCATGTGGCTTGTCCAGCACTGTGCCAGAGACATCCTCGAGGCTCTCGCCTTCCTTCACAAAGAAGGCTACGTCCACGCAGACCTCAAACCACGCAACATCCTCTGGAGCGCTGATGACGAGTCCTTCAAGCTCATTGACTTTGGCCTCAGCTTCAAACAGGGAAACCAGGTGGGGTTTTGTTATTATTCTCAATATTTTAAGCTCAACAATTTATTCCCTAACATTAAAAAAACATGATGCAATGACTGAAGTTAAAGATGTGGGTTTTTTTTACAGGAGATTTTCTTTAACTTTAAATATTGTTCAACAGATTTTTTTAAAAATCCAGAAAAAGGTGGATGTGGTGGAAGATACAGGTTCATTCAATAGTGAGTTTGGCACTGATTAGGTGGGTTTTGACCAGTTTGCGATGGCCACTAGTCTGTGGTTTCCTGCCGTTGTTGCAGGATGTCTGCAGGTGCAGATGAGACTAAAGAGAGGTCTAGGTGTTAGAAGACATGGATACCTCGGGAGACTTTGCGTGGCAGACTTAGGGCAGACGAAAGAAAGCTGACAGCCAGTAGCAGGCTGCTGAAAGCAGACCATGAGAGAGCCTGAGCAATTTGGAGATAAAGCAGCTGTTGTTATTCCAAGCTTCACCTATGAAGGCATTGAAAGTTTTTCCTCTTATTGACAGAACTTCTTAACACAAGGCTCTCTGTTTGTCTTCTTGGTTGGAGCTGAACCAACTAGCGATTGAGTTTAAGCTTTTAGGAATCAGTCTGTATCAAATGCATTTAGAGCACATTATTTGAAAAGAAATAAATGCACTTAATAGAGATGACTAGAACAAATGTTTTGTGCTCATTTTGTTTTTATGTTAGCTAAAGATAAAATAGTGTGTATTTAGATGTGAATGTTAATAAAAGAGGATCAGGGATAGCTCTGTTTGTGAAAGTACGACATCCTTATCTTGCAGGATGTCAAGTACATCCAGACAGACGGGTACCGCGCACCGGAGGCTGAGCTTCAGAACAGCCTGGCTCAGGCGGGGGTGGAAATGGAGGGAGACTCGGGCTGCACGGCCGCCGTCGACCTGTGGAGCCTGGGCATCATCCTGCTGGAGATGTTCTCAGGAATCAAACTCAAAGACACCGTCCGCTCGCAAGAGTGGAAGGTATGGCAAAGCTCTCCAAGTTTTAAGCAAAGAAAAATCTAATAACACAGACCTTTGGTGCAATAGAAAGACATGAGCTTACACAGTATGGTTTTCTGCCCTGCAGGATAACAGCGCTGCCATTGTAGACCATGTCTTTGCCAACAACAGCCTGGCATGCCCTGCCATCCCCGTCTATCACCTCAGAGACCTTATTAAAAGGTAAAGAATCATGCACTAAACAGTGAAGTCTTATCATGATGGCTCTGGTTGTTGACTCATGTTACTTTGTGTCTGCAGCATGCTTGTCACTGATCCAAAACAAAGATGCTCAGCTGAAACTGCCCTGCTGAGCCCATTCTTCAGTATTCCCTTTGGTAAGTGTCAATATTTGAGACATTCACTAAGATAAACACAACTCTCTGGTGTGTTATACTTAGGTGTGTGTGCGTGTGCGTGTGTGTGTAACAGCACCTCACATTGACGACCTGGTTCTGCTGCCTTCTCCTGTTCTGCGTCTGCTCAACCTAATCGATGACAGCCACCTGCACAATGAGGATGAATATGAAGGTACAACAGCATGATTTTTACTTTGTTTTTTTCATATTTTTGTGTTGCTTCTATCCTTCACTGATTTCTCAAAGCTTTATTATTCCATCGCTTGCCTCAGTTAAGTAAAAATGTCGGATTGTCATTCCCAGATATCCTGGAGGACATGAAAGAGGAGTGCCAGAAGTACGGATCCGTGGTTTCTCTGCTCATCCCCAAGGAAAATCCAGGGAAAGGACAGGTGAGTCTTTTTGTCCTTCTAAAGCTGCTTTTTAAACTTTCCTTCTAAACAAATACAACTTTTTCATACCTTTCAAATGAATTGAAATCTGAGAGGGTTTTAATCTTCCGTCATTTTACAGTTGCTGTATTTTATTAAGAGAAGCCTTGAAGGAAAACATTACAGTTCACACTTCCTTTGCTGCTGCAGGTTTATATTAAAACATGACCGATCTTTTGTTTATTTGCAGACTTTTCGTCTCACTGTATATAAATGTATATCTATAAATGCAGTTCAGAAGATTGATTAATAATGCAGTCATTACAGCAGAAAACACATTTATTTTAAATTTATTTACCTTTATTTAAACATGAAGTCCCATTAAATCAGATGTTTTATAAAGGAAAATTGTTTGCAGCTCATTATCTAAATGAGTTGAAAGCATGTATTCAGCATAGCTGTGAAATACAAACAAATGCACCCACTAAATCTTCATTTCCCTTCTGTCCACAGGTGTTTGTGGAGTATGCCAACTCCAGCGACTGCAAAGAGGCTCAGAGGCTGCTGACAGGCCGCACCTTCGATGGGAAGTTTGTCGTGGCTACCTTCTACCCTCTGAGCGCCTATAAAAGAGGTTACCTCTATCAGACTGTCCAGTGAACTTTTAAATCCTCAGTTTACACCTCAGCATAGTTTGCATGTTAAAAACACAACTGCAAAGGTCACCAATGAGTAGCTGCCCTGCAGTTTAAGCTCTTTCAGATATGAGTGAGTGTAGTTCTCCATGCAGTTTTCTACAGCAAATCTGTGTTTCATGCAGAGTGCAAACTGAGCTGTGGTGAGCCTCCGCCTTCAGTCTGTGTGCTCTTTTTATCCATCCAGTGCTTTAATATATACTAGATCTGTCTCATTTAATATCTGTTAGCCAGAGGCCTGCGTTCTGGGGACCGTAGTGCCTGTTCGAGCTTCCGTATCACTTTCATTCACTCATAAAACCTCCCATCAGAGTTCCAAGATGAAAAATTATAGCTGCATTTAAAAACTTCTAAAGGACATCTCACTTGATAAATATATAGATATTGACTTTACTTCATCAGCTTTATACAGAATGCTGTTAAAAACATGTAGCAGATGTTAAGTAGTAATTTAAAGGGAGTTTTATGCATCAAACTCAAAACTAATGACAAAAACACCCTGAGAATCACACCCCTTCAAAGTGAAAATTTACTGTGGTGAAAGCAATCTGTTAATATTGCCTATTTATATATCTTTTTAGGTTAAACATTTTAGAGGAAGGGACATGGTACCAGGGGAATATCCAGGTGTCTTCTGCCTGTTTTCAGGGAGATATTGTTTGACTAATGCTTCCACTAGCTGGTAGTTTTCACTCACTAACTCACTGCCATTATCTGAGCAAGCCGAGGGGTCTCTGCACCCTCTCCTGTAGCCTTATGCGTCGTAGCCTTTCATTTAAAGCCAATGTGCTCTATTATCTATTTTGATTATTTTCATTGTGTGTGAAACCTTTCAGAAAAACATGCAGTAAGCATAGTTGTTGTTGTTTTTTCACTGCAGCACACAAGCAAGAAAATTAAGAGATAAAACCGAAGAACTAGTAGGTAAATAAGCCTGTGAACAAAAAAAGGTTCCAGCAGAGGCGAAAATGTTTTCTAACTTCCTCTAACTTGAGCCAGTGATGTGTTCCGTTTACCTCATAATTTTGTAGTCCGGAGCCAAAGCGTTAACCAGATATTGGATGCAGATGTGTGCAGTGGGACATTGGAGATTACCCTGATCAAGTGGTGTAAAGCCACTACCTGGAGGATATTTGTAGCCTCTTTAATTAGGACTTTTTTTTAAGACAATCTTGAGTTGGTACAGTCCGTGTTGCTGTCATCACTGTTTTTAAATCTTGCACATTGTGGCTTTTAAAGGCTGTGCAGTACTGTTGCAAGGTGAAGGCTACTGTACTAACTAGATAAGGTTTAATATATGACAAGCTTCCAGTGTGTTGGTGCATGATCCAGGTGATTGATTGTACACTGCCAGCCCAGTGTTGTAGCATCATCGTCCTGTGGTAGTACTTTTCATACTAAAGCCAGTTTCTTGAAATGCTGCTTTTTGCATGATGAGGAAAAAAAAAGAATTTCTACACAAGTGCCCTATGACATTCACAGGCTAGCTAACTAACCAAAATGCTGCTATGACAGCTGATTGTGCTACAGCTGCATGTGCTTATAGCTAAAGCCTTTGCTGATGCCTTATGAAATAACCTTCCAGCAGTTTTAGTGTCCACACAAATTAAAGTGGACTGTTACCAACAATAACCTGGAACAAATCATTTTTCTCCTTCATTAGTTGCTCACTGCTAATTTTTCTTCTTATAGCCCAAGTAGCTATTAATCAAAAGCTCGAAGCTACATTTGACAGTGCAGGTGTTAGCTGCGGTAAACACTAATGCTAATACTGCAAGATTCTAGAAGTGAAATTCCCGTTATATTCTTCATGTTGATTTTGATCGTGAGCTGTAATTTTGTAACCATCCAAAGCAGACTGGCTACAGGCGACAACATTATGAAGCAGTGCTGTGTGCTCCTGTAGAAAGCAGATAGCAACCTTGTTTTAACAAAAAAAAGCATTTTATTCATAGTAGAATAAAATGGAAAAGAACTATTTCACCCACAATCACGACCTAAATCCTCAAATTCTGACTTGAATCCTTCTTGAAATGGAAAAGCCACAAACAGTGATTCCAGGCAGGAACAAAGTCCTTTACTCTATTGAGAACTTCTACTTTACTACATACGCAAACATCAACTACAAAATATATTGACAGCTATTATTTTACAACACTATGATGGGGAACACGATTAAATTCAAGAAGGCTGAAAGTTGTTTCCTCTGGAATCTGGGGTGTGCAGTGCATTGTGGGATGTCTAGTTCCTTCTCCGTTAAAAGTAACTTATGCGCATATTATTGTACCTTTTGCTTTTTTCCCTTTTATTGTTTTTAACCAAAAATCTTTTTGTGTTCTTTTGGGGGGGGGGTTTGTTTGTTTGTTTTTTATGATTCCTCTCGTAGCTGGTTGGCTTGGTTCGAGGCTTAAAACTCTTTAACTTTCTGAACAACAACATGTAAAGTGCTTTGAGTGCTTAGAGTAGAAAAGCGCTAAATTCAAACCAGTCCACATCAATGGAGAAAATGAAAGGGATATTCACTTCTAGAACCGGAGCTCTTAGAAACATGGGTGGTTACTGTTGAACTAGCAACAGCTAGCAACAAAACACCTTTGATTATATTAAACAGAACAAAGGTTTTTTGTTCAGTTTTTTTGCTCAAAGTTACCCTTACAGTTGACTCATTATGCTTTTCCTTGTTTTCTGCCGCCGAGGGCAGATTTCCATAATATATCTTGTGTTTTGTAAGGGTTTGCTAGTCAGAAGAAATTTGGCTCCAAGGGAGAGGAAACGATTTGTTTCAGACAGGGTGGACTGAAGAGTAAGGCTCAGTATGTGGTAAAAGGAGTTATTCTGAAGAGTGAAACATCCAGTCACTGTATTGGAGTCCAGTCATAATGATATTGAGCTTGCATAATAAGTCTTCTTTAAAGTCTGGTGTGTGAAAAGCAGCAGCTGGGTATGCTGCTGAAACATAAAAACGTGATAGAAACCAGATGGTGACGTCGATGAGGAGAATAAGTTTATGCATTTATACTCTTTTTTTTTTTTTTTTTTTTTAAATATAATCCAATTTCATTTGGATTATACTTAAAATATAAACTGAAAGAGAAACAGCAGCGTTATCCTTGGAAAGGTCTAAAGATGTATTTTTCTACAAACTTTATGTTTTTGCCTGAAATGTGAATTCCAAAGTTGAGAGCATCTCTGTTGAGTTGAGAGCTGAGAGCATCGCTGCCCTGAAATCTTGATTTTTAAAACTTGAGTCCTTCCAACCACTTTATGGTAAAGCAGGTTGTAGATCTGTGGCATGTAAGCACATTATGTAACTGTAAAACAGGGATAAATAAAAAAAACACCCCACATCTACTCACCCAGTCAGATTAATTAATTGGCTTACAACGTGTTACAAAGAGAGATTGAATATTGTGAATGAATTCCTTGTTTATGTGGAAAATAGTAAGCTATTCTCCACCTAAAATGGGCTGTAAGGGTGGTTTCACTACTCATGAATACGACTGGGGCCATCCACAGTTTCTTTCGGACTGCCAGCCACAACACACAATAAACCAGAGAAGCACAGAGACGAAGTTAAAGATGTTCGACTGAAAAAGAACAGAACATGAATCCACACTGTTGTCGTTAAAGCGCTGCAACATGGTTAGTTTCATATGTTTTTGTCGTATATAATCAGTTGAGTTGTGGTTTTTACTATTAGTAGTTTATAGTGAAAAGGGCAAAGCAGGTCTGTCTGTGGCTGCACCTTCAAAATGATAATGTGACCAGCTGGCTTTTATAAACGAATAGAAATACTCGTTGATTTTATGAAGCGTTTGTTACCTGAATGTCTGAGTCCAGTGCTGCTCTTTATTTCACTGGAAGCATGAATATAAAAAGAAAATGCTTCCACAGAGCTGTGAGAGAGAGACGTGGGGGGAATCCTTTGGCAGTTTTAAATGTTTGAGTGGAATATTTATTCAGGTTGCAGTTTTTTTTAAGGTGTTTGCTGATGGTGATGTAAGCTCTATGATGCAGAAACAATGTTTTTTTGAGTTTGTTTATGATTTTCTTTAGGTAAACTTGCAGTGTGGAGCTTCGTCTCCCGTGTCTGGCAGTGGAAGTCATTTCATCAACACTGTTAACGCATGCTGACCATGATTGTTTTTAGACACATCATCAGAAACTCTTCTTGGAAGTTTCCTAGGTTTTTTCCACTTTCCTCTACTCTCTCTGCATTACTGTGGTTGCTTAACTCTTCAGTTGTGGCAACCCAGTTATTGCTGGATAGGCATAAAACACGTTGCTACCAGTGCATCAAATTTAAAACTCCAGTACTCTATGAGCAATCATAAGCTTAATAAGCTTTGTGTTCAGAAAGACCTTGAATGTGTGCCACAGTCCAGCTTTACATTTTGAGATTGGGTAAAGTTTATTTAGACTTTTGTTTTTTAATATATTAGTTAAAAAAAAAATTCTTTGCTCAAGGCAGAAAAGACGCTCAGCGCCGCCTCATGCTGCTGGCACTTGCAGCAACTCGAGCAACTGAAAACGTACGCTGGCCTGAAAGTAATCCACAGATGGTTGTCTGGCTGCATTTTTGAAACCCTGCAGATAGGAACTACATTTATGTACTTTTATCACTCAGAATAGAGCAAAGTGTGAGCAAATCAGAATATCCACGGTAGTGTTACGCCTCCTGTTTACGCCCTCTGAGGCTTGTATCTCTATCTTGTCTCTGAGGCAGCTTCTCACTTAAGACTTAAATCCATTATTTTGTCTTGATAGACTTCTTAGGCACTCAGTTAAGGTTGTTGATTATAAATTTCTTTTCTTCATTTACACGACTGCTTGTTGCAGCACTAATGCACACTACTTTATGTGCGACTGCATTAGTGTTTGAAGTATCTGGTTCTCTGTGTGTGTTTGTGGCATTAGAGCTCCTTCGAGTATTTTATGATGTTGTTCAGCAGAGAAATTAAAAATATTAGGGTTCAGAGGTGGGCGATGATTTTCTTTGTCTTTCTTCCAGTTAGCTGTCCCACTTTTGACCTGCATTTGAGTGTGTGTGCAGAGGATTTTGATCCTTCTTTTCCCCTTTTTTCCAATTTCATCCTGCCTGCTCTTGTAGTCTTCCATCCTCCTTCCCAAATCCAATGCTGTGATTCAAACGTGGCTCATAAGTGTTTACTTTTCCAACTTTTTTAAGTTGTAAAAAATGAGATTTGTTCTCTGCATATTCCATCTGCTTCACTTAAATTCTGGGTTTGTTTTCCTTGTAGCTGCTAGTGAATCAAGGTGCAGCTTTAAGTCAGTCCATTTTCTATATTTCTGCCATCAAAGATATATTTTTTCAGAGTGTACTTTATCTTCACTGCACATTTATTGTGCATCTAGATAGTGTCTTATATGTATGCACACCTGTGTGGAGGATGAAATAGCAGTGAAAAAGTTAAACGCCTTCTAGCTGTGTGCATGGCGTGATGTGTAATGTGTGCTGGGACTATTCTGCTCCATCAGCATGTGTGTAGTGATATGGCTCTATATACCAGCTTGCTTGCAAAGGCAATCGAAAAATCCTTTGAAATGACAAACAGGGAGTCAGTTTAGAGCTGAAGAGTGAGTGAATATGAAAAAGTGCCGCCAGCTGTTTAATCTTTAACACAACTGTTGTATGATGTCCTGTTACTGAAAGCACATTATCAAAGGAATATCTTGAAATTCTTTACAGCACAGCAGATAAAAGCTGAAGATTAGATCAAATATAAAGAACATCAGCTGCTTCATTTACACAAAACATCAACTGACAGTGAAATGAGCGAGCTAAACGTGAGCAAGAACACTACAACAGTAGAAATGTCCTGTTGGTTCAGGTTTTTTTTGGGTTTTTTTGCTGAATTTGAATTTAACATGCTGCATATTGACAAAGTGTTTAGAAAAGTGTTCTTCATGTGAATAATTGTCATTTTTCTTTTTAAATCTTTTAAAGCTGCAGTAATTGTTTCATTTTCAATCCAAACAATAATTCTACATGGGTTAAGGGAAAAAAAGCTCTGTGGAGCTGAGGAGACAGTCACTCCTTATGACATCCTTCACGTTACCCTTTGTCATTTGACAACAAAGACACTGATTAGTGCAGCTTTAAAAGTGTGTTTTCTGCACAAACAGGTCCCAGAGGACTGACCTGAGTTTTCTTTTCTTTTTCTTTATAATATCTGACCAACTACTGTTGTAAAATCAGGTTTGGGTATAAATGCCAAGCAGGCAGCACAATCTCTGAGGGCTCAGAAATACCAAATCCAGACCGGAGTACCAGCTGAGTGAAACCAAATGATGTGAGAAGCGAGAGAACTTGCACAGTAATTGTTGTCATTTCGAGTCTGAACAAATAAAAAAAAAAAAAGGTCTTTTAGTGTAATCATTTAAAGAGTCGAAAGACAATCCACAAGACAAGTGTTGCCTTTTGTTTTTGGTTGAGGCCTTCCTGTTGATTTTATGTTTGAGAAGCAGTTTACTGAATGTCAAAGTTAGATGATCTTCCAGAGAGCAGTGGGTCCATTTGAAGCTCAAACCTGACTGATTGCTCATAAATCACAGCGATGTGAGGATTTCTGTCCTCGGTGATGAGTCCTTCTTACTGAATATCCCACCGGTCACTGAAAACAGATGATTGTTTTTGATTGTTACAGATCGTCTGCTTAGAGAAAGCACAATGTAAGAAGGTCACTGTATGCAAGATGCATGCAACACGTGTGAACCTGTGTGTGTTAATCCATTCTATAGAGCCTTCCAGATCACAGTAACCCATGGCACTCACTGTGTTTGAGTGTATCACAATAAAAACAATGCTTGACTTGAAACCGCAGTCTGTCTGGTGTTTCGGGACTCGGGATTTTCTCTCTTTTTCTCTCAGAAGTCTTAAAAAGACCCCTATATGTAGAACAAATGTTCATTTAACAGTCCAAAATGAAAGATGGTTGTTATTTCCAGTATAAAATTATATTTAATAAATTACATTACTGGGATAAAAAGTCAATTTGTGTTTTTTCTGCGGTTCATTCTGTCCAGTAATATGGAGTGGAATGCCTCTTAGTGGTCACTGTTGGAACTGCAGTCAGCAGGTATGGTGAGAAACCATCTCAGCATGGTTCAAACTCGGGAATTCCATTTACCAGATTGATGAGGTTTGGTTAGAGATCCTCTAAGGTCTTGTACATTAGTAATGAGGTAATTGTATTAAGAACTGAAGATGCCTCGTGGATAAGAGGTGAAAATCTTCAAAAAAACCAACAACTTGAAGTCCAGTCGCCTTTTTCTCAAGCTCTTAAGACTAAAGGTAATTGTGTCGTTAAACTTAAAATCCAGGTTATTCACCTTTGAAAATCTAAAAACTAATGCTTTGATTCCCAAACCTTTTCCTAGGTTACTTTCCCCAAAAATATTTCTCCAACTCAATGGGAGGATCCAGAATAATGTTCAGGTAAAAACGCATATCATCAGCCAGTCCTCATTCTAATTTCACTGATGCACCTCAGCCATCAGCGTTGGACATGTGTCCTGCGTTCTGCACTTACCACCTGAACCAAAGCGTTTACAGTAGTGTAAACACAGGTAAATTAAATTTTAGATGGACATGCATACATGCGTACACATCGATGGTTAGGGTTCAGAACCAGGGAAAAAACACTGATAATCCCCTGATGTGTATTAGTTGTGTCCAGCATTAAAAATAAATGACTAAACATCCTGACCTGATTCTCCCAGGAGTCTTGTGAAAACAGACTCAACGTCACGAAATATCTTTCTTCTTTTCACTCATGGCCCCAGTTTCACTCCCCATCCATTTTATATGCCACTATTGTATGTCATTAACTTTGTGTCATTGCTCCAGTAGTGCTTTTTTTGTGTCTATCACTTTTATCTTCTCTTCTCCTTCCTTTCCCGGTTGTGGCAGATGGCTGCTTTCCATGCACCTGCTTCTATGAGGGAATTTTTCCCACCACTTCTAGTGGATTTCTCTATAATTTTCCATGTTGTCATTTTACATTATAAAACTCCCTGAGATGTTGTGTTGTATAACTGATGTCAGAAAGTGGACAAATGCTATAAAGACAAATGCTGTCAGATTTTATTTAATTCAAAGTCCGATTGCACTTGGTGACAATCTGATTAAACAATTGCTGAAATCACTGATTCACTCATATTGTAGTTTCTGTTCTGGCCACTGTCACATGTTTCCTTTGACTGCCCATCACGGTGTAGAGAAAGGAGGTGATACATCTTTACTTGGTTGCTCCTGTAATAAAAAAGAAATTTAATGTGGATTTGATCAAATTTTCTTTAGACTAATCAGCACAGAAAGGACACAGTAACAACTGAAGATGTGCTGACTCTGTTTTAGTCGTACTCACTTCCACGAATCCAGATATGTTATGAATGATCACCCCCTCCTGCTGTCTCTTCATCTTATTCGTCCTCCAGGCTTTCCCCACAATCAGCATGGAAACCACCAGCATGAGTCCTGCCACTGATCCAGCGATAGCTATGACTACAGTGGTGTTATTGACAGCTCCCTGTGGAGCTGCTTGATCTGCTGCCTTTATCGGTCTCTCATCACCATGGACGACAGAGTCGGGCATAGGCTGCGGCTTCAACAAGTCCGATAGATCTGAGGGAAGACAAAAATGGCAAGGCTAACCAAACAGGGGTGGGTCATAATATTTGTCTCAGAATTGTAATTCTGATCAAAACATTGTGGTTCCCATCTGTTGTCTAAAAGCTTCCTCACCTTCCAGACTGAAGAGGAAGAAGGCGTCGTCTCCTTTGATGAAGTATCTGCTCCTCAGTCTGTCGTGGGTGATGAAGCTACTTGTTCCAAACCCTGGGCCTCGATAGTAATAACTGCCATCAGACTCAGTTATTTTAGAGCCCACAATCTTGGGATTATCCCAGAAGAACTCAGTACCTGGAGAGAAAACATGGAAACGCAACAGCTCACTGAAAACACGGAATGACTTGGCAAATAATTAGTTAACCTGTTGCCCTGCTTCTTACCATCAGAGGACATCTTCGCAGGGTCTGTTGTGATCATTCGGTTCATGTTCATGTGCTGCCTGATGTCGGACTGCTGATCCATCAAGGTCATGGTTGCTTGGTGCCATGGACATGGCCACTTGAGATTGTCGTCATTGGGGCCTGAGGTCAGGTGGAAGTAGATGGCCATATACCCTGGATTGCTGCTTTGCCCGTTTAGGTAAACACCTACCTGAAGAGGGCAGGGCAATATGAAGCTACCACAGGGTTTCCACGTTCATTACCTAATGTACACTGCTTCAAAAACCTTTTCTTTCTCTCCCATTTGAAAAAGACAGGCTCTAAAATAGTGACTAAATGTATTTGAACGTCATAAATAAACAAAAATAGTGTTTTATTTATTATGGAGGACCGTACTTTGAAGTGTTTCCAGTTATTTTTAATGCAACAGAATTAAAAAGATATATAAATATTAAATAGTAATTTACCTGGAAGGTGTAACCTGTTGGTGACATGAAGCGAGGGCTGCTCATTTTCTTTCCAGCTGGTGTGGTGGCCAGCAGCTCGTTGATGCCACGGATGTGCCAGATGTGATGAGGACACTTTGTGGATGACAGGTTAATGTCATCCAAAGAGAAACCTCCCTTTGATGGATTCATTCCCCTCACGCCCTCGAAAACCACTCGGGCCTTCTGCGTCACGTTCAGGTTGATGTTATGCAGCTCCCAGGAGCCCATGACACCTCCTGCAAAGATGGAAGAACAGATGTTAATTCTTAATTTATCAATTATATCCGAACTTTAACACATCCGTGTATAAAGTTTTTCATTCATTTAAAACTCAATTTAATTGTTCTTTTTACAAATCTCGGTTAAATGTATTGATGCTTTCGCTAAGTGTCACCAAATTCAGAACTTTCCAAATCACACCTTTAACAATAACCTTCACAATCACAACTCGGTCTGTATGTCATTTCTTACCTGAAATGCTGTGGAAGAGCTTCATTTTCCCGTTGGGGTTGGCCTTGTCGTACTCTCTCACCCAGATGTTGAGAACATCATCGTCTGCCCCGGAGTTATAGAGGAAGAACTGCAGACACTGGGCTCCAGATTTGGGATAAAGCCAGCGACTCTCCAGAAAAGCACGCTCGCCAGGTAGTGCAGAGGCTGTGCTGAAGTGCATGAAGTAACCTTTCCCTGGACAGCAAAAATCAATGCTGATATTAAGTATCAACATTGTGATGTTACAGTAAATCTGATTGCCTGTGAAAGACAAATAATTGTTGAAATACTGTGTTTCAAACAACTACAGATGCTTGTTGCATCTCTCTTCTTTTTAAGGCATCTGCTTCTTCTTTTGTCTTTTTCTTTTGCCCAGTTTCCTCAGATTTTTTAATGACTCAACATCTTGAGATATGCCAAATTATCAGCTAATTGAGAATTAACTTCTTGGTGCAAAAATATTAGTATTTTCCTAGGTTTGACTAAAGAAGTTGAAACAAATTATGTGTTTTTGCAACAGACTTCTAGTAACAAAGTGCCTACGGGTCCAATTTAAATGGTTTCTTTGCTAAATTTTCTGTTTTGTGTAGACACAACACTAGTCCATCAAATTAGTTAAGTGCTTTTAATGCTTAAATGAATAATAGGTCAGTGGTTAGTGGTTCAACAAACAACAAAGCATTCTGCTTACAATGGTCATGTAGAAGGACTGAACTGAAACTGAGTGAAAAAGCAGCCAATGACGAAAGAATGAAAAATTATTGCTCAACACCACTTTAAAAATCACAAGATGGACTCAAATTTAGATTATTTGATATTATTATTTTGATTATGGAATCAAAATATAGAGAAATTAGGAGTGTCATGAGAATTTTGCCAAGTACTGTACAGACTAGGCAGTAGCAGTAGTACCTAGAGGGTACTACCTCAGTAGCAAGCAGTTGTGCACCTTAAAGGTACAATAAAGTACTTTATTTTCTGAATGTTTTAAATCTTTCACATTGAAAAACCTTCCAATCTGTTTGTGAAGTCCTACAAACATTTTTCTCATTGCTTTCTCTTTATAACAACAGGATATAGGTTTGAAGATTCTTAGCAGGCATCAGTTTTTATTCTCTTGATGTACCACTGGTATTAAAGCAGTGGGATACTGGGTTTGTCTTTTTGTTATTAGCACAGCAGTAGTTCAACTTAACGAATAGAAAACCAAATAAAGAATGATTCTCTCTTTTAGTGAGATCAGTACTGAAGCATTTTATCCTTGCCGAGTTTATCGTATAAACACTTGCAAGTTATTTTTCTAACAAACTAAGCGTGTTTTTGTGAAAACAATAAATCCCTTTATCTTGATTCCAGTCTGAACTTTGCACAGGTCACTGCTGTAAATCACCTCGGCTCTCTTTGTTTTTCAGATACATGTAACCAAAGCAGTAGCTCTTAACTCAGATATGAGCACCCAGGTAATCATTCCTTGGAACTCTCAACATCTCTCTTCAGACATCCCCACCCTCCACAAACCAGAGTCCAGTTTTTGAAAGTGCACTAAATGTTTTTGTAGTGCAAACTATTTATTTAACTAAGGGAGAACTGTTGGGATTAAGAATCCCTTTGTGCATGGAAAGATCCTTCCATGAAGGCTTAGCATAATAACACACATTTTTGTGATTATTCATGGTTACCTTTGCATTGTCCCAAATTGGTGAAATCAGTCTCAGGTCCTCCAGCCACTGAAGCAAGCTGCTCCCACTTTGCATCGCCAGAGCCCTGAATCATCCCGCAGATGTTCTCCTCCTCAAAATTACAGCTGTCCACAAAGGTGGAAGACGTGGCTGTTGAGAGGAAGCAATCACACTTTCACTGCTCGATCTAGTCCTACAGACAGAACACTGCCATTTCCCCTCTTTACAAAAAATACGTTTTAACTTTGGGGAAAAGAGATGGCTAAAATTGAGAAATTAGCAAAAAGGAGAGGAAGCTGACACTTTTAATATAAGGTCTTTAAGGTTTTGTTGGTATAATTTTATAATCAATATATTCTAATTATATTATATCATAGTATAGACGCAGAGAAGCTGCATTCAGCTTTTATGCTCCTTATATCTGGAACAAACTCCCAGAAAGCCTCAGATCAGCTGAAACACTCAGTTTATTTAAATCCAGGTTGAAGACTCACCTGTTCCCAGCTGCATTTGAATAAAGCACCAAATCCACACTTTTAAGCTTAAATTTCAAAACTTACATTTT